CTCCCCCTCCCCTCCTCTCCTCCTCTCCTCCGCCTCCTCCTCTCCTCCTCCCCTCCTCCCCTCTCCTCCCCCCTCCTCCCGCCTCCGCTCCGCCTCCTCCTCCCTCCTCTCCTCCTCCTCCTCCCCTCCTCCCCCTCCCCCTCCCCTCCTCCTCCTCCTCCTCCTCCTCCTCCTCCTCCTCCTCCTCTCCTCCTCCTCCTCTCCTCCCCCTTCCTCCGCCTCCGCCTCCGCCTCCGCCTCCGCCTCTCCTCCTCCTCCTCTCCTCCTCCTCCTCCTCCTCCTCCTCCCTCCTCCCTACAGGTGGATTTGGGCAGCAAAAGGTCGGGCGGCCAAGAGGGGTGTGTCAAGAGGGGGGGGGGGGGGGGCAAATCATGACCGGCGACATGTGCGCGGCCCAGCGGGGGGGCCAGGGACGCAATGGAATGAGAAGAGGCGCCATGACATCGGAGGAAATATCATGGCCCCCGCCATGATATCCACCTCCCCCCCTAGTCATCACCCCCCTCTTTGCCGCTCCCGGACCACCGGGCCTCGGAGCAGCGGGGCGATCGGGGGTCTCGACGCCGACAGCACGTCCTCGAGGCGACCAGCTGTACCAGACCACACCCCAACCCAACACGAAGGACCGACTTTCGGGTCTGGGGGGGGTGCGGGTTCCAGACGTATGTTCTCAATGGAAGCGGGACCCGTCGCCAATCTAGGAGATGATGTCCTGGATCTGCGCTGGGCCGGGGCGGCGCCAGAGGCGCCGCCGGGGGCCGCCGGGCGCCGATCCAAGAAATCCGCGCGGAGCGCCAAAAGTGTATGTCTATGGCGTTTCCCTTCTTCGATACTCCACGCCCCCTGATCAGTGTCTGCGATCGGCTGAGATGAAGGGGCCCCAGGACACGCAAATCAATATGCACAAATAACAAGACTCCCCATATCTTACGAGATCTCTTGGGGTCTTCGTCTTCCCCCCCCACTTCTCCCCTGTCTTCCCACACTTCTGGGGAGTCGACGATGGATTGTGTCTGTGTTTGTGCTCTCCCCTCCCGATGAGAGGGGAGCGCGCCGAGCCCGTCGTGCCGCCCGGGCCGACCGGGAGGCCTGCGAAGCGCGCGCCCGAACGTCGCCGCCTGTCCTCCCCCCTCCGCGGCTGCCGCGGTGCCTGCCGCGGGACCCGGGATGGGGCGAAGCCCCGTGCGGTCGGGCCTGGGCCGGAGGAGGAGGAGGGGGGCGGGGGAGGGAGGGGGAGGAGGAGGAGGGGAGGGGGAGGAGGAGGAGGAGGAGGAGGGAGGAGGAGGAGGAGGGGGAGGAGGAGGAGGAGGAGGAGGAGGAGGAGGAGGAGGAGGAGGAGGAGGAGGAGAGAGGAGGAGGAGGAGGGAGGAGGGGAGGAGGAGGAGGAGGAGGAGGAGGAGGAGGAGGAGGAGGAGGAGGAGGAGGAGGAGGAGGAGAACATCCCTCAAGAACGCGAGACCCTTCGTCGGCCCCCCAAAAAAACAGAGCATCCAAGGGTGCCCTCCCCAGGACGCACAAGAACGCCCAACAAGCACGAATAATGTTAGGGTACCCTCCCCGAACCGACATCGATCTTAAGCCTCGGCCCGACTGTAAGCAGGTCACGCGATGACTCTTCACAGATCCCCACGGCCTTGTGTGAGCATCGTTTGGCCGACCCCCACCCCAACCCACCTCCAGCGTGGCCTGGGCCCCACTGGCCGATCTACTCCCCCCTTGATAGGGACGCAGGCTGTTCCCTTCGGGTCTCGATGGGCACATCCCAAACTGGGGTGATAAGACGGTGGGGATCGGAATGGGATGGGGATCGGGTAAACGATACTGATTCTTCCCCTCAACTCCCGTGGGCGGTATGCGCGGCAGCGTTACCGCTATCCAGGTGGCAGAAATTAAAAGAGTTACGGAGGAGAGCCTCGGCCTTCTCGATTCCCAACCCTCCAACGTCGCGCTTCTGTCCAATACGTACGGGGACTTCACACTGCGGGACCCGTTCCCCAGGACCAATGTTTCCTCACGGATCGTCCTACACAGCACCCTGACCTCAAACAAACACCCTGGAATCCGAACATCGAGAAACCCTGAGCTCAAACATCCTCAAAAGGGCACACCCCGACCTGCCCCGAGGAGGTGCCCGACCATAATCTCGACGCGGACACCTGCCGTGGCGACGGTGAGTCCGAACAAGGCCCAGAAACACCCCACATCTGCGGAGCAAACGCGATGTCTTCGCGGGCTGGACATCGAGGCGCGACTCCCTGGACACACACGCACACACACAACGCAAGCAAGCGCAAACACAAGCATAAGCACATGCACAAACACATGCACCAGCACCAACATCGGCACTAAAACACCAGCACAAACACAAGCACAAGCACACGCACGATCACACACTGCACACACACAAACACAAGCACGTACACAAACACATAACCAACCATAACCACAACACACAGACAACGGCACGAACACAAACGCAATCACAAGCACACAACACACAACCACCAGCACAACACAACCACACACACATAGCCACCAGCACAAGCACAAACACACGCATCAGCACAAACACAAGCACAAACATAAACACACAGCAACCACACACACACGCACAAACACAAACACGACCACGAGCGCGCGCGGCCAGGCCCCCAGACGCTGGACCGCAGTGGATCGCCGCACCTTGCCACCTGGAGGGGTGGAGCAGCACATGGCCATCCAGGCGCGGATGGCAGGTAGACGGGAGAGAGCACTAGCCGCCGCCCACGGGGACGTCCCACGCGGGGGGTGCAGCGCGGATGCGAAGAGGCGGGAGACCACCACGGGGTACAGCGAGGAGCCCAGGCGAGGCTGCAGTGCGGGTGCAGGACGCGAGGGGCAACATGCCGCAGGACGCGAGCGCCTGGCCTTCCTCCCGCGAGGGCAAGAAAGGTCGAAACACGCACACACGCGCGCACACACACACTCTCACACACACACACACACGCACGGACACACACGCACATACGCACATATACTTTTCAGCCAGCAGCGCAGAAGGACCTCAGGCGTCGTCAGCAGGTGGAGGTGCCAATTTCGTACGAAGTTAGTCGAATGCACCATGATGGATCAGCCCAATCACGGCCATGCAGAAAGGTGGTGAAAAACACGCATACACACATACACGCACACGCTTTTTGACGTCGCGGCCCCGCGCGCGGCGACGGGGCGTAGAAAAGCGAGTGCAATCACTGGAACGCGCACGTCTACTCCCGACTCACTCACACGCACACGCACACGCACACGCACTCGCACACGCACACGCACACGCACACGCAGACGCAGACGCACACGCACGCGCACACACAAACGCACACGAACACACACACACACACACGCACACACACAACACACACACACAACACACACACAACACGACACGCATCAACATACGACACACAACACACAACACACAACGCACAACGCACAAGACACAACACAAATCACACAGCATTGAGCACCCACCCACCACACACACCATACGCACCACAGGCATACACACACTGTTTGGCGTCGCGGCCACGCGCGTGGCGGCGCGGCGCAGAATAGGTCGAGCGATCGCACGCACCAGCCTACAGATCCTTTTTGGCACAAGAGGCCTCGCGCGCGGCGACGAGGCGTAGTCAGTTGCAATGCTAAGCGCGGGCGCTCGGCCAAACCATCAAATATCGCTCTGGATCCCGCTATTCCTATCGCTATACAACGCATCCGGGCATGAATAGCAATCCGGCCTACACACACGCACAATACAGTGGACACGTTCCGCACGGGGCATCCGCGTCAAGTCGTCCTGCGTCCATGGGGTCGCAGCCGAGGAACCAGGACTGCGAGGCCGTTCATACCCGCATGCTTCCCGCCGACGAGCAAAATACAGTCGGGCTGTTGAAATAAGGAGCGCGAAATAAGGAACGAAGCGCACTTTTTGCGCCAACAGCTGGCCTCCTCCAACTCCAAAGCGGCTCGTATTTCAGCGTCTCGGCTGTAGAATCTGAATTGAGGTGTAGGGGGGGACTGGCATAGGCGGGGAAACATCGACCTGGAATCGGCGATAACCGTCGCCGATAGATCCGCGACTGGCCCCCAGTGGTGAATGCGAGCTTTCCTGGGCAGGCTGGTGCTATCAGGCCCCTGTCTGCGATCAATCGGCCTATCCCCTCCTACAGTCGAGGTACTTCCAGAAGGAACGCCAAATGTTGGAGGCCTGGAAATTGGCACCAACACCAGCACAGGGCGTTCGCCTCCACACGGGGAAGATGGCCTTAGATTTCGGTGTTGGTGGTAATATTTCGGTCACCTTGAAGCCAGAATATTACCACCATCACCGAGATCGGGATCGTCCTCCCTCGGTGGAGGCACACCGCCGATCTTGGTGTTGGTGTCAACCTCTATAGGCCTGCGAAAAGGAGGAACGAAGGGGCCGTTCTGGCCACGGTGGGCCCAGGCCACAGGCAACGCCCGCGACGTGAATCTCAGAAACGGCCCAAACCCCCCGAGCCCCTTCCTTGCCCAAAGCGGTCCTTCCTTCCAGCGTCCTGGCTGCATCGTTGGACTTACGTCGGGCCTGTCCTTCTACAGGGGGATTTTGGACCAAGAATCCGCCGACCCCAGAGGCGTGTGCGATATAGAAAATATATTGTCTAAACAATGCCCCGAAATGGCAACAAATGCTCAAACAGTAGTCCCCAGACTACTGTTCGACGTAACGTTAGGCAGGACCTTAACGGTACGGTCGGACCTAGGACAGAAGAACATCCCTCAAGAACTTGAGACCCCCCGCCAGCCCCACCACACAGAACATCCAAGGGTACCCTCCCCAGGATGCACGAGAGCATCCAACAAACACGAAGAACACTAGGGTACCCTCCCCGAACCGACCTCGATCTTATACCTCGCGCTGCGCGAAGCGCGAAGCGCGAATAACTTCGCGCTCTCGCGCCGACCCCCCAAAGGGAGAAGAGGAGGACGAGGAGGAGGGGGAGAAGGAACGAGGACCGCGAAGCGCGAAGCGCGAATAACTTCGCGCCCTCGAGGGAGCCCTTGGAAGAACCACGCAGGCCGAAACCGTCGGCGCTCCGCGCGGGCTTCTCGGATCTGCGCGCCGCCAGCGCGCGCCCAGCAGGGCGGCGCCGGAGAGGCTCCACAAAAGGCAGGGCGCCCGCGCGCCGGCCCGAGCAGATCCGCGCGGAGCGCCAGCAGCAGCACGCCACGGCGCTCTCCACGCTGCGAGATCGCTGCCCCCTCCTCCTCCTTCCTGTCTTCGCGTTCCGCATTCACCCTTTCTCTCCTCCTCCTCCTCCTCCTCCTCCTCCTCCTCCCTCCTCCCCTTTCTCCTAGGCCTCACCCTCACCCTCACCCTCCTGACGAATTGGAAGGGGCCCTGGGACACACCAACACATACACACACACACACACGAATGACAGGATTCTCCAAACCTTCCCCAGATCTGCTGGGTCTTTGTCTCCCCCCCTCCCACGCTTCCCATATTTTTCCCGCATTCTCCGGGTGCATCGACGATTCATGGTGTCTGTGTGTTTTTGTTGTTTCCCTCCTGATGTTCACGCTTCGAAGTCGCTGCCCCTGACGAATTCTGCTCAGCACGTTGGAGGCCTGGGTTCCGCCGCACAATCAAAAGTCGGCTACACGCAAGAGTGACCCTGGGTAAGAGTGTGACCCTTGGTGCGCGGCTCTGGGAGGGCCGCGGGGGACCGAACCTGGGCGCGCCAGCCGCTGCCCCTGCCTCGTTCTCAGCCATCTGGGGACCCACCTGTTAACCAGCCTCGAACGTATCCCTATCCCTAAGATGGGCGAGCAAAAGGCGAGGACAATCTCAGGGACAGGCCCCCAGAAGCTGGGGGGAATCCTTCAGATCGGCGTCGAGGTGGGGTGATGTCAAACATAGGGATAGGGGTATGTTTCAAACTGGTAATGCGTGGCCGCACCAACGGACCCTACGTCGAAAGCTCACTCTTGCGTCTGGCCGAACTCAGAGAGACCCGCGCCGCTCGAGCCGGGCGACGCGCCGGCCGGCGGCGCACCGCCTGCGGACGGGCCGGCCGCCACTCTTTTTGGCGGCGTCGGCCCCGCGCGCTCGGTGCGCTTTGTGGAGCGGGGCCGCCCCTGCGAGGCGGGGAGGTATCCTCCTGACTACCTATCAGACCACCCCAACCCAACCCGAAGACCCGCATTTCGGGTTGGGGGGGGGGTAAGGGTTCCGCATGTGTTTTCTCGATGTCTCCCGACCCCCCCCCCTGGAAATCGACGGTAAATCTGAGCCGTCGGGTTGGGTTGGGGTGGTTTGGTGGGTGGTGAATATCCTAACAGGGCATGTGTCGACCCCTATCTCTGGACGCCCGAAATGGGGGCACGGACAACAAATGGGTAAAGTGCCCAACAGCAAGTGTTGCCCCAAACCAACAGCGGCCGCTGTTGGGCAGACGGCCTTCTGTCTCAAATGGACACGGGCCGCGGCGGCGCGGACAGCGAGTCCTGTTCAAAATGAACAGGAACTTCTGTTGAGCATTGTACCCACTCCTTCCGTGCTCATTTCGTTCTTGCAGACTATCCCAGACATCGCTGGGTTTTCGAATGAAGCAGAAATTCGAGCCCCAGCCCTGGGATATATACCATTGGGGGGCCTCCCTCCTCGATGGTGGTGCGTCCGAACAGCCCCCCTGGGGTGTATCCCAGGCTTTCCCTCTTTTCCTGAGCGGCCAAACTCTTCCGGCGAAGCTCGGGGATCGGGAAAGAAAAGCCACCTGCGACGTCCATCGCCTGGGATCCCACACCCTGGGGGCCCAGCGGGCGGCGGATATGAACATCTACTTGAGCCTCTGGCGGGAATATCTTCTATACTGTCCGCGTAGTGCTCACTCCCGGCGGCAATCCATGAAAGCTGGATGCCCACCTTTTGCCTCTCAGCGGGGATCTTTACTGTCAATCTTGAGACGCCTCGCGCAACCCTGGAACAACAAAAAATCTACTTGAGCCTCTGGGGGCCAAGCTGTATCCCCATCCACCGCCGGCCGAGGTCTCCGAGAGTCGATCCTCCGGGCGGCGTGATGTGTATCAGCCCCGGCCTCGGCGCCCTCGGCCGGGCACGCTCCTGGGCCGTGACGGCAGTCTCTTGACAATCATGCGATCTCCCAGAAGCCATCCTAGCTTCTCTTATGCTTTCTCCCAAAGCCCCGGGGCCTGGGGCCCTTCCAGCGGGGCCCATGGCCCAGTGGTCTTGGGATCATAACTCGGTTCTCTGGCGGCCGTTCAGGACGATTCGGGCACGCCATGAACGCTCTCGGCGATCGCGAGTCTGGAAAACCGCCGAGGACTGGCGAAGACGCCCGACAGCCTTGAACATCGAACCTCTGAGCCTCTTCCCCCCTATACGTCAGTCACCCCCGCCATCTAGGAGACCCTCTGACTTGCGCCTGCTGCCTCTTCTTCCTCTTTCTCTGCTGCGTCCTGGTGTTGTCAGCTGTTCTCTCCTGATCACTGCTGCCCCCATCCTCCCCACCCGCCCCTCTCTCTCTCTCTCTCTCCTTTGTTTTTTCTCTCTCCCTATCCCTCTCTCTCTCTGTCTCTCTCCCTCAGTATCTTTGCTCGTCTCACTCTCCCTCTCTCTCTCTCGTTCTCTCCTTCGCTATACCTTTACCTCCTCTTTTTTTGTTCTCTCTTTCTCTCTCTCTCTCTCTCTTTCTCTCTCTCTCTCTCCCCCCCTTTCCCTCTCCCGCTGCTCCTGTGGTTTGTGTGCTCTGCGCACCCCGGGTCTTCGCCCCGGGCCGCGCAGCCAGGGCTTGCTTCCGCGCGGCGCCGACGAGTCCCCTGCCCTCTCCCAGGCGCGAGCGCCGTCGCAGACGTCGCCTCGACCGCGGACGCCGTCCATAGGGCGACCCACGAGCCCGCAGCCGCTCGGCAGCCAGGTGCTTACTTGACTACCTACCCAAACCACCCCAATAAAGGGGCCCCCGGACACACAAATAAATACACACAAATAAAAAGATTCCCCATATTTCCTTACAGTTTCTGGGTTTTTGTCTTCCCCCCACTTCCACTATTTTCCCATATTATCTTCGGAATCAACGATTAATTGTGTCTGTGCGTGTTTTCCCCTCCTGACCCAACCCAACCCGAAGACCCGAATTCCGGGTTTTTTGGGGGGGTACGGGCTTCGTGTGTGTTTTTAATGCTTCCCGACACGGGGTGTTGGTGGGTGGGGCTTGGGGTGGCTGGGTTGGGTTGGGGTGGGGTGGCTGGTGGGTGGCCTTTGGGTTGGGTTCGGGTGGTCGGGGTTTTTGTGGGTGGGGCAACCGCACCACGTGCCGCTCCGTGCCCCCAGGGCTGGCGGGGCGCAGAACAGACGGCTCAGACCCTCCCCTTGCTCGCACTCCGCATAGCTATCTTGGCCACGCGTACTCGACGACGCCCGACCGAACAAATCCTCCGTCGCGCCGGTTGGTCTCCGAGCAGCGCCGCTGCACACGGGCTGCTTTTCTGCAACGGCCGTGCGTGTGCGTCCGCGCGTGGGCACGTTCGTGTTTGGACCCCTTGGAGGAGCGCGCAGTCGACCCCGGAGGGCGAACTGACTACATTCCGCGTGTGTTCGCCGGCACCACGTGAGCACCAGAAAACACTTTTGCCCTCGGGCCAAAGTTGAGCCTCAGCCTAGCGGCCGAGGACGGCGTCGGGGCCACTTAAGGCCCGAGCCCGGGAAGCCAGAGGAACAAGCCCGAGCGCAGGACCAGGGACCACGACCCTTGTGTGTGTGTGTGTGCGTGCGTGCGTGCGTGCGTGCGTGCGTGCGTGCGAGTGCGTGCGTGTGTGTGTGTGTGTGTATGTGTGCGTGCGTGCGTGCGTGCGTGCGTGCGTGCGTGCGTGCGTGCGTGCGTGCGTGCGTGCGTGCGTGCGTGCGTGCGTGCGTGCGTGCGTGCGTGCGTGCGTGCGTGTGCGTGTGTGTGTGTGCGTGTGTGTGTGTGTGAATGTGTGTGTGTGTGTGTGTGTGTGTGTGTGTGTGCGTGTGCGTTGTGTGTGTGCGTGTGCGTGCGTGTGTGTGTGCGTGTGCGTGTGCGTGTGCGTGTGCGTGTGCGTGTGCGTGTGCGTGTGCGTGTGCGTGTGCGTGTGCGTGTGCGTGTGCGTGTGCGTGTGCGTGTGCGTGTGCGTCGTGTGCGTGTGCGTGTGCGTGTGCGTGTGCGTGTGCGTGTGCGTGTGCGTGTGCGTGTGCGTGTGCGTGTGCGTGTGCGTGTGCGTGTGTGTGTTTTGGTGCTTTGGTGCGTCGGCAGCCTGGGGCGTCAACACCTCGCCAGGCCCGTGCGCTGGGCTCTCGAGCGACCGACCGCCGCCTGCCGAGCCACCGAGGGAGCCGAGCCGCGGGCAGCGCCCCCGCCGACTCCCCAGGGCGCAGAGCGCGCTGGCCCTCTCGAGGCCGCGCCCCACCCTAGGCCCCTCAGCCTGGAGCCAAGGGGGGCTGAAAAGCAAGCGAGCCCCAACCGAGCCCAGGCCACCGCCAACGGCGAATGCGGGCCCAGGCACCCCAAGGGACAGCAGCCCCTCAGGCCCCCCAGCCACGGCTTCTCACCCGCGCCGAGGGGGGCATAGCACACTCAGGAGCACGGGCGCAACGGCCTCAGCTCCACGGTGAGGCCATCCACACAGCTGGCACTCCTGCTGCAGAAGAAAGGTAATGAGGCCATCCACGCAGCTGGCACTCCTGCTGCCCACGAGCGAACGCGCGAACGACGCAGCGACGGAACCTCGAAACCCCTCCAGGGTGCGGAACCGCCGCAGGGCACGCGTGCACGCTCGAGCACACGCCGACGCGCACCGAACACTCGTGCACGGCGAGGCCATCCACACAGCTGGCACTCTTGCTGCAGAAAAATATTGATGAGGCCATTCACGCAGCTGGCACTCCTGCTGCACACTCTGGAGAAGGTCGGAACGCTGCTACGCCTCCTCGCTGTAAACGTTGGCGATGTCCTCGGCCGTCAGCTTGTCCTGCTCGGTGCCGTACGTCTCGAGGAACAGATTTCCTTCCTTACTGTATGGCTCGCGGCCAAAGTGGCAGGCTGCCGACTCCTGGTACATGGGCTCGCGGGGGGGCGAGCGATACTGCGATGTCGCCTGGGTGGCAGTCGAACTCCACCTCAGCACGTTGGGTCTGTCCACGGCCGTCAGCTTGCCCTGCTCGGCGCCGTAGGTCTCGAGGAAAAACGGCAGCGGCTTCGCGACGCCGATGGCGTAGGACAAAT